ATCCACTTCCTGCATAGTATATTACTAAAAGCAACGTGTCTAACTTGGTGGGTTCCTATTGATCGGTTCATGGGATTGAGGATATACTTTGACTCGTTAAAGCTTCAATGTTTTTCCACTTTCAAAAACCAGAGGCCTCTTTCTTCAAAGTCAGAGTGGAAAGCAATCCCTTTGCTTTCACACCACGTTGGTTTGCTTTTCCTTATTTTCCCCTAATTATTAACTAAATATAATGCTTAATTACATGAAAAACAAGTCAACAGGGCGAATCTTCCCGAGTGAAGGAACGGAGCACTAATCATGGAACTTTTTAAGGCTTGGGCTCATTTCAAGCCATGACTATCGTTACTCGCTGCCAACTTATATATAGTGGCCAATCAGACGTCTTATTCATAATTCATTCTTGGAATTTTAAGCTTTGAATAATTCTCAACGTGCGTGTGCGTCAACTTTTGACGCTCTCTTTAACGTACACACTATGTCTAAGACGAATGTGTTGCATTTCACTTTTTCTTTCACAAGTGTACATATTATACTCCCTCCATATAAAAAATATAAGTCATTTTTTAAAAATTTAAATATTTAAAAATATAAAACATTTTAAATCTTTTGAGATGTAATTATTATTTTTTTTCAAAAGTGCTCCTATTAATAAATGACTTTATATTTATTATATAATATTTAATAGAGATAAATGTAAAAATATATAGTTAATTTAAAAGTAAGTAACTATTTTATTAGTGATGAGAGTTTATTAAAAATGTTTTACATTTTTTAACGAAATGAATATATTTTATATCATATTTATAAATTAAAGGGCAGCTGTTCAAGTTAGTATCCAAAAAAAAAAAAAAAAGCCTAATGCAATATACCAAAACTACAGCATCTTTGCTCTGGATATTTCGTTGAACAGAGTCATTGAGACAAATACACGGAACCAAAGTAAGGAAAGAGCAGAGATTAGGTGGCATCTTGAATTGGTGATACTGCTTCCACCACATGGGACTAGGAACAAAACAGAGGAAGGGCCACAAAATAAAAGTGATTGAACGGATGAAGACGGCTGGACACGTGTCCAGGTTGGGTATAAGCTGTTCGTGGTGTTTTCCGGATGCGAACGAGACATGAATGAATAGACGAAGTTGGTAAATTAAGGCAAGGCTGCTTGCCTTAACTTGATTCGGTGTTGCATAACAAAACACAGGATTTTACTTTCGAATATTTTGCAGTGTCCGAGTAAAAAGACACGCCCAGGAATTGAATTAGGATAGTGTTGAAGGGGAAGACAGTGTTTGAGACAAAGAAGAGCCGTATACGAATTCGAAGGTTGCTTTACAGCCATACATGTCATTCTTCCCACCGCCCTTGGCACACTACTTTGACCACACACTCTCTCTCTCGTTTTTTTTTTTCCTGGCTTTTTAAACCCACGAACCTTAATTAAGCCGACTAGTCATTGCTCACAAGAGTCCCTTGACCAAAATCATTTTAGGGTTTCCAGTATAATCCAACTGTGCACGACACTAAACAGTGAACGGCTCAAACTCTACTTGTTAATGATTGCCCACACGCATTAATCATGTACTGTAGGCTAAACTCTTGTTAAAATATTCATTATTATTATTCGCCTGGCCTTAGATTTACTGCTTGACCATTCACGTGATTGGCATCGTATTTGAGAAATCAGTGTGATTAGGATGTGAGATATGTAAGTGTGCAAATAGATTATAAAAATCATAACTTTTACGGGCATTTGACGATGAAGGCGTGGCTTAAATTGTACTCCAATGGCCCCGATTGAGGTAACTATGGTTTAAAATCACCGATTACTAATTTGGAAGGAAGTGTACTAAAAACTTAACAATGCGACAAAATAAGAAATTTGCCAGGTTCCCTTCGGAGTTTTTGGTAAATGTCGAGCATGTAGTAGCTTGCTCAAATTGAAACAAATGACACTACGACAACACAAAAGAAGTTAGGTCGCAGATTCCCGGTTTCGCAATTTCCTATAAACTGAATAGAGCCAAGTTTCTGATTCTATGGTTTATAAATATTTCAAAACTTGCGTGCATTGTTCTTTGGATTTGGATATGATAAATGGCGTAAATCCACTAACTAAATAACTGTCTTAATCCTCTAAAAAGAAATTAAAATTTAGCATTTTTTATTATCATATAACAAAATTTCTGACAATTATATGATTAAATTGAATGGTTATTATAATAACACGTGAAATACTAATTGAGTAAGTTGATTGTGTCACTCACTTGTTATGTGTTTGATTAATTAAGAAGGCAAATTGTGGTGAGGAAAAATTTGCCAGAATTTGAAGTGGCGGAGGAGTGGGATTTAGGGGATGCCGACATGCCCTTTGGTTTCACATTAATTTTTGTTTGATTAACGAAAAATGTAGAGAGTTTAAGAGGCTGAGTCATCATCCACCGTTTTTCTGGGTGGGTCCACCCCGAAAAGCCTCCCTACCTTCGATCTGTCTCTTCCCGCCAAGCACCAAATCCAATCACGTTAGTTCACATTATAACGTACTCTCCCTTTTAAAAAATATAAAATATTTTTAATTAAATTTTATCTTTTAATAAAATAATTATTTATTTTTAAATTAATTTTATCTTTCTATATTTATTTTTATTAAATATTTTATAATAAATATAAAGTTCTCATCAATAGAACTATTTTTTAAAAAAAATAATGATTACACCTCGAAAAATTAAAAATATTTTATATTTTTTAATATTTAATTTTTTAAAAAATATTTTATATTTTTAAATAGAGAAATTATATAACATGAAAGAAATCATGAATCTTTTTTTTTTAGCAAAAAAGAAACCACAATTTAAATATGAGTGTTCTCACTGCTTTGTTAGTTACCTCTCTGATCTTCAATTTGACTTGGAGTGTTCACATACTCCTACCCCACCAAAAAAAAAGTTTTTATTTGCATGTCATGCTCAATTTAGTCACTTTGATTTTATTTATATTTATAAAATTTGACTCAAAAGAAACTATACTAACAAGAATGAAATTTAATATAAATTAATTAATCAACAATGTAGTGAGAAATTGAAAATCATGTAAAACTATAAAGAAAAATATATGATATGATAATTATTTAATTATTGTGAATTAATTAAATAATTTTATATTTATTTTCACATGAAATTGTTAATTAACAGTTACATTGAAATTTTAAAAATGTATTAGTTATTAATAAATTTATATTTATGTATATATATGGGAAACAATTGTTTTTAAAAAATATATTATTTGAAAATAAGCTCAACTTAGGTAAAGAGAAATTCTTGTATGTACATAATACATTACACCATTTATGATTTGTTTAATACAAATATGCCATATTAGCATCAAATCAATCAAATAAAATTTTTTGTGTTTTTTTTATTAACTTTGTCTTTAAATTTATTTTATTATTTTTTCTCAATTAAAGTATACTTTTAATCGTTTAACTTTAAACAAGATTTCATTTTATTTTCTTAGTTTTAAAAAGTGTATTTTTTAATCTTTTAATCCTAGTATTGTCAATTTCTTCACCCAAAAAAATTAAGATAAACTTTTAAATGTTGACAAAATGTTCTCAAATATTAACTTATCAAGTTTAATTTTTTTAAAATAATAATAATTAACACAAAAAATAATTATTTAACACTAACAGTGTTGGAATTAAAGGATTAAAAATATATTTTATAAAATTAAATAATCAAAATAAAATTTTATGTAAAATTAGAGAAATATAAAGTATGCTTTAACCCTCTTTTCTCTCCATTATCATCAATGTCAAAATAACCATATATTTACAACCATATTAAATGGCATGTTTTTTATTCGACAAACCATAAATAATATAGTGTATTAGATCCATACAAAAATTTCAATTACCATAGTTTGAAAATGGGAAATTCTTTACCTATGCACCACATCATTTATGTGTTACTATTTTTATTAAAAAATGTAAGACATTTTTAACATTTCAAAATGTAATCATTATATTTTTTTTCAAAGATATCTTTAATGAATAAATTATTTTATATTTATTTTAGAGTAAAATATTTTATTAAATACAAATAAATATGAAAAATGATATTAATTTGAAGATAATTAACTACTTTATTGGAAGTAAAATTCATTTAAAAATGTCTTATATTTTTAATAGAGAGATTTTTTTTAATAATTTTATTTTTAAAATAGTTTTCTTAATTTCCTGTATTTTTTTCTCTCTATCACCCCAATAATGTAAAATCAATTTATATTCACAATCACATGGATTACATGTTTTTATTAAATAATCTATAAATTAATGAGATGGCATATCGAACCTATGCAAGAATTTTTCATTGAAAATTGAGTGAGTCTCACTGTTTAGATATTTCAAAACTTACGGCTTTGCCAATCCTATTTAAATTTGACTCCAGTTTGGATTTGATTTGAACGGCACTAAATAGAAACAGTGTGTTTGGTTGATCATTGCGTGCAAGTAGGAAGCAAAATCATAGTTATTTGCATGTGCCCTCTAGCTTCTGGAAATGCCCCCTTCCGTGGGAAAAATAATTTCATAATCTATGACACGCGATCATCATCGGTCAATAAAACGTAGCTAAAATTACATAAGTTATTAACTTCATTTTTCTAGTGCAAATATATATACATATATGATTGAAACACTTGAATAAAAAGAAGAAGAAGAAGAATATAAATAACATAGAACAAGTGTGAAGGATATGTAATGAAATTGCAGGCCCCAGCAGTAAAATGATGGGTCGGTCATAAAAAGACGCTTTGAAATTGGAAAGCAACCAACCATGCTGGCTATTGCATGGAACTCGGAAACCCCATATTCCAACTTCCATAAATGGCCTCTCCTTTCCCTCGAAATTCCACATCCCCCCCCCCCCCCCCCCCCAAAAAATTCCCTCCCCCTTTAAATCCCCACTTCGTCCTCCCACCCACCTGAACTCCCAATCCCACCCTCCCTCCCTCTCTCGTCTCTCTCTCTGCTCCAAACCATGTGCCGCTCATCATCATCGCTCCCCTCTGCTTTCAGCAAAGCCCAGAAGGACCAGCCACATGTGCCCACCTCTAAATTGCAAGACCCTGATATGTTGGCGTTAATGATCCCCAAATCCCCAACATTTGAACACCAGAATTTGAAGCACCATGATTCCTTTTTGTCTCTGAGCCTCAAAGAAGCCCGCTGTATAGCTAATATCTCCTTGCCCATGGTCTTCACTGGTCTTCTGCTTTATTCACGCCCTCTGATCTCCATGCTCTTCCTCGGTCGCCTCGGCGACCTTGCTCTGGCAGGCGGTTCTCTCGCCATTGGATTCGCTAACATCACCGGTTACTCTGTTCTTTCTGGCCTCGCTATGGGCATGGAACCCATTTGTGGTCAGGCTTTTGGAGCTAAGAGATTCAAACTTCTCGGCCTCGCCATGCAGAGGACCGTGATTCTCCTTCTTTCTACTTCTATTGTCATAGCATTTCTGTGGTTCAACATGAAGAAAATATTGCTGCTCTGCAGTCAAGAGGATGATATCGCCACCGAAGCTCAATCCTACATACTTTATTCTCTTCCCGATCTCGTCGCACAGTCGCTGCTTCACCCACTACGAATCTATTTGCGAAGTCAATCCGTGACAATACCTCTCACGTTCTGCGCCGCTCTCTCTATTGTTCTCCACATTCCCATCAATTACCTCCTCGTCTCTGTTCTTCAACTCGGAACCAGAGGCATCGCTTTAGCCTCTGTCTGGACAAATTTCAATCTCGTGGGTTCTTTGATCACCTACATCTTGGTTTCCGGTATATATCGCAAAACCTGGCCTGGAATTTCCTCGGCATGCTTCAAAGGCTGGAAATCGCTCTTGAATCTGGCGATTCCAAGTTGCATTTCGGTATGCCTCGAGTGGTGGTGGTACGAGATCATGATTTTACTTTGCGGCTTATTGATAAACCCTCAGGTGACCGTTGCTTCCATGGGAGTTCTGATTCAAACGACGGCATTGATATACGTGTTTCCGTCTTCCTTAAGCTTCGGAGTATCCACCAGGGTCGGTAATGAGCTGGGAGCTAACAATCCGAAAAGAGCCAGAATTGCAGCAATAGTTGGACTCTGTTTCAGTTTCATTCTGGGATTCGCAGCATTGTTCTTTGCCATTTCGGTGAGGAAAGTATGGGCTTCCATGTTCACACAGGACGCACAGATCATTGCTTTGACGTCAGCGGTATTGCCCATCATCGGACTCTGCGAGCTCGGAAATTGTCCCCAGACAACAGTATGCGGCGTCTTGCGAGGAACGGCGAGACCAAAACTAGGAGCAAATATCAACTTGGGCTGCTTTTATCTCGTCGGAATGCCCGTGGCTTTGTGGCTCAGTTTCTTCGCAGGCTTTGACTTTAAAGGGTTGTGGCTCGGTCTCATGGCCGCTCAAGCTTCGTGTATGGTAACCATGCTGTTCGTGCTGGCTCGGACCAATTGGGAAGGTCAGGCCCAGAGAGCTCAGGAGCTCACATCGTCTGATTCCAGCGAAGAGGAAGACAACGAAGGAGAAGGAGAAGAAGAAGAAAAGGAGGAAGCAGCAGAGCTAATAGTCTGAAGGCTTATGCTCTGCTAGTCTAAGTTCATTTGCCGCCCTGGACCGGTTTTGATCGATCATCATACATAGGAAGGATTCTTTTATTTAATTAACCAAATTAAATTAAATTAAATGCTATAAGATAAATTAATTCTTTCTATCATGTAAGCTAATTGTAAATTCAATGCTATACCTAGGAATAGCAAGGGCGCATTCGTTTATTGGTTAACGAGCTAATATCCAGCACTACTTTGCATAAGAAAGCGGCATTCAATTTATCTCGTGGACTAGGACTCTTAACTTTTTTCTCTTTTATTGCGAGCATAAGGCAAGCTAAAAGCTGAAAATAACAAGTAATTGGTGGTATATATCTAGGGAAAGTCTCATGCCACAGTGTTTTAGAAAAGCTAGGGAAGAAAGAGAGAGAAAAGCAAAGAGATGGCAGTTTGTGTCGGTTAGTTGGCAACGAAAACTGACTTGTCGCAGTTGTTTGGGGACGATGAATCTGCTGGCTCCTTCAGGTTCAGGTCATTTCGAGATAGGCTTTATGAGGAGGATATTCCACGAACCAAACTGTAGCGTTGAAAGAGAAATTAGAATGTTCCTTCCTTCCCAGAGCGTTCATGTCTTCCAGATAGCCGCCCCGTCAACAGTGATACATGCGCCATCCAGGGGATTACGCGCTATGCACGCCGCTTTGCACATATGAGGAATGCCTCAATTACATTTACATTGCACGTAGCGTTGTATTGCGCGGCTGATGATGACCGCTTGAGTTCAATTTCTGGCACGACATGCACGTGCTCTGTTTTTACTATTCTTCATGATCATCTCTCCACCTTGCCTTTTTCCCCCCTTCCTAATTCGGTTTGATAATTAAACCGTGATATGTGTTGATTAATCCAACAAGAAACGGGATTATTTTATTTTAATAAATGCCACTTTAGGTAATAATACATGCGTGCATAAATTTTATGGAATTCTGGATTCATGGGTTAACGTTTCGTGTGAATTGTGATCTATGTGTGTGTACATATATCAAACCCAATTGGATTGTGAGGTCAGACTTTTTATAAAGCATTAGGCGAGTTACACTGTTTTATCACTACTAAAAAAATAAAATTTAACGGGAGACATGTCATTTTTTTAGTTAAATTGTGTTTTAGCGAAGAATAAAATTCCTCGCTAAAATCATAATTAAAAAAGGTTTATTAAATTTAGTGAGGGATTGTATTTTCTTTACTAATTAGCGAGGAATATAGTGAGAGATTCAGTCCCTCGCTAATCTCTCACTATATCTCTCACTAATTCTATTCAAAATTTGATAATTTAGTGAGGAATTAGTCCCTTGCTAAATAAGTTTATATTTAAAAATAATAATGCCACATCACCTGTCATGTATGCATCAACTTGTAACATGTCACCAATAACGTCGTGCCTCACTAACCATCATGTCACCCATCATCTAACATCTCATATTTTTCTCGCTAGTTAATGAGGGATTTAGCGAGAAATTTAATCTCTCGTTAAATTATCAAATTTTGAATAGAATTAATAACGCTAAATATGCCTTTTTTAAAAATAGTGATGCAATATCACCCACCATGTGTGAGTCAACTTGTAACATATTATCAACAACCTCGTGCCTCATCAACCACCATATCACCTACCATCTCGTACCTTGTATTTTTCTCGCTAATTAACAAGAGATTTAGTGAGAGATTCAGTCCCTCACTAAATTATCAATTTTTGAATAGAATTAACGAGGGACTAAATCTCTCACTATATCCCTCACAAATTCTATTCAAAATTTGATAATTTAGTGAAGGATTTGTCCTTCGCTAAATATGCTTATATTTAAAAATAGTGATGCCACATCATCCACCATGTGTGCATCAACTTGTAACATATCATCAACAATCTTGTGTCTCATCAATCGCCATGTCACCTACCATCTCATGCCTCATCACCAGCCACATGTGCGATGATTCATGACATGTCATTATCCACCTTACGCTATGTCATTTACTCCTTACCATGTCATATATTTATTATGTTTATGTCAAAGTCAAGACTTGAACCTTTAACCTCATATCTTTTAAGTTTTATACTCTTCTTCTTTGTCAGTTGAACTGAAAGGTACCTGCAATTATTATTTAAAAAATTAAATATATATTATTTAATTACATAAATACATCAAAAAATATAATATAAAAATACACACATGTATACATATTAAATTTTATTTTCAATTATTAATATGTTAAAAATATTTATATTTTATTTAAATTATTCTTTATATTATATTTTTAATAAAATATTATTTTATTAGTGAAAATAAACTTAAAATAAAGAAAATATTAAATAAATTTATTATGAATATTTTAATTAATTTTTAAATAAAAATAATTAAATATATAATTAAAATTAATCATCAAAAGTTAATTTTTTTTGTAGTAATTAGTCAAAGATAGAATCCCTAGCTAATTACCTTATTTTAAAGAGAGATTAGCAGTCTCTCACTATTTTTCTAACTAATTGTCCTATTTTAGAAAGGGATTGACAGTTTCTCACCAATCTTCTTATTTTAGAAAGGGATTAGTAGTCCCTTGCTATTTTTCTCATTAATTATCTTATTTTAGAGAGGGATTGACAGTTTAACACTATCTTGCTTGTTAATTCTCTTATTTTAGAGAGAAATTAACAATCACTCGTTATTTTTCTCACTAATTTTAAATCCAACATCCGTCATTAATTTTCTTGCTAATTTAATATTTTAGAAAGGAATAGATGATCTTTCACTAAATTTTCTTGTTAATTTATATTTTTTTAATAGTGTATATTATAGTTATAGTGCGGTTTTCTATAAATTAATTTTTTCCATAATTTCATTTTAATATAAAAAATGAAATTCGTTTATGGCATGCCGAGTTGATAGGATATATATTGGACTAATTATATATTGGACTAATTTATGAATGTGACGTGATGCTGCCTCCTACAATGCTCATACTTCAAAATGGAAATTTTAAATATAGAAAATGGCATTTATGTGTACCAACTTATATATTGATTTATTAATAATCATGTCTTTGTTAAAACGATTGTCAAATACAAGTCCTGAAGGAATAATTCCATTATGAAAATTAAAAAATGAAGGAATATTAGTTGGATATAATTATTTAGAGATTTAAATTACCATTAAATTAGTGTTTCGACCTAACTATTTCTTTTTTTTTTTTTACTAAAAATAACAGTGAACCAGATGTGGATGCACATTGTTTAAAAAAATAAGCTTTGTAGTTGTTTTATTGAAGGAGAAAACTTCCCAACTGCTTTGTAAGAGGGTGGAAAACTGGAAATGAATAAGTAATTATATCTAATGAAGCAGGGGCTTATCTTAATTAATTATTTTTTGGGCCGAAAAAAAAGGAAACTTTTAAGTCTTGAATTTTAAGAAATCACACCTTTTTGGGAAACAGATCACTCGCTGGTTTCACAAGTTAGCAAGTTGCTCTTATGAAGTTATGAATATTGTCACATCGATCGTGTACCCACGCGCACCTATAGGCAGTCATGTTGGCACATATAGGACACAACAGGTCCAAAAGTCAAACAGAAGAAACCAATTTCGGAGCCGAGTGCTGAGGTTGAGGCATGTGAATGGAAGCCAAAAATGATTTTTCTGTTTGTTAAAAAAAAAAAAAAAGTGTGGAAGCAGGAACATATAGGAAGGGGGTGGAGCAGCCAAATAGGACTTTGAATAGAGAGAGTGGTGATTCAAGATTTGTGTGTGCTATACTCACATACTATACGCTACACATTTGAATAACGAGTGACCAAAGTATGGGGGACATGTGAACGTTGGTGGCCAAGCTAACCTGTGTCTGTTAATTTGGTCACTCTAAGTGGCAATAATAATTAATTAATGAGCTTAGCCTCCCATGACTCTTGCGTATGCCTGTGTATATCCCTTGCCCGTTCTCGTTCTTGTGACTCACACGTGACGCATTCAGGGCAGTTACTTGTGCGGAAACTCCTTTGACTTTGTCATCATCAAATAATATATATATTTATATTTAGGCGCAAACAAAGTAATTCGTTCGGCGCCCCTTCATCCGTGTAAGCTAGTCGGCTGGGTTTGGTCTACCGTCTACAAGACAGCGGTCTTCGCCGGCTTAAATTTCTTCCTCAATAAATCCGCATTTCTTAATCAGGTTAGGTTCCTTAAAAAAGGCATGTGAAATATCCAGTATATTATACTCCAATTAAGATATATAAAAACATTCATTTCTAAACCTGTAAATAATATTATTTAAATAATCAACCAGTGAATGTAACGTCCAAATATAAACCCCGCATAATTTAATAAAATAACAGTGTTACTAAACCACTAATCCGACAAATTGCTATTTTTTCAACTTAAAACGATCTCACTTCATGCTCAATGATAAAGGGAGACAAAATATAAAAACTAATATGATCCACTTGTTTAAAATTCTTGACTACTAGCTAGCGGCTAGGAGACTGGTTCACTGATCTAATCAAATTGTTTGAGCTTGGCCTTCAATGTCATGAGAATATCATATTATAGTTATTATTTATCACACAACTGTATCATCATAGAATAACACTTCCCGCCCCAAATTGTAAGGCAATTTTGGATGTATTTGATTGTCACAAAATATAAAATAATTTATCAAAAAATAATATTTCACTAATAATATTTCTTTAATGTTATAATTTAAGTAGAAAAAGAATTGCAATGATTGAAAGATAATTTGATAAAAATATAAGGTTTCATTAATAACATTGTTTAAATGTTACCTTTTAAGTGAAAAAAATTGAAACAATTGTAGTGTACTCTCTTAGGGGTTACGTTTCCAATATAAGGAATTTAATGAAGTATTAATTACACTTTTTACTGTTATCTCTATTTAAACTCATTAATTATGAGAGAGAATATAAAAAAATTTTAAAAATTAATTTAAATAGATGTAAAATTAGAATTTTATTTTATTTAAAGATAAAGTCAATGACTATATAAGGGAGAATATAATGAAAATTTTTTTAAAAAATCATTTAAATAAATGTAAAATTAAAATTTTATTCTATTATAAAATAAAGTTAAATCATTTTAACCACCACTCATTGATTCAACGAGGTAATCAGAGGTATCTTCAAATGGAGACTTGAGGGAGTAATGATGATTAAGGTGTATATTTAAATTTATACCCCCTCTAGTCTAAAATACAATCATTTTTCCTAATTAATCTTAGTTTAAAACATAAGCAACCCAATATATATATATATATATATATAATTTTTCATTTCATCACTTGTATTTATTAATATAGATTCTTATGTAAATTTATCTCTCACTTATCACAAAGGGCATTGATAATTGAGACTAAGGTTAAAATTGAAAAACAATATTTGTACGGAAATGAAGACTTTATTGATTTGCAAATTTTTCCTAAAAACTATTTACTCTCTTCATTTAAAAATATAAAATATTTTTAATTAAATTTTACCTCCTAATAAAGTAATTACCTATTTTTAAACTAATCATATCTTTTTATATTTATCCTTATTAAACAATCTATAATAAATATAAAATAACTATCAATAAGGGTACTTAAAAAAAAGACAATAATTGAATCTCGAAAGATTAAAAATGCCTTATATTTTTTAACATTCAACTTCTCCAAAAATGCCTTACATTTTTGAATGGAGGGAGTATATTTTAGACCAAAGTGAGTATTAAATAAAAGTTATTTTTTAAAATTTATATTTTGTATTGAGAAAGTAAACTTGTAAACTATCATTG